AAACAGGTTCCATAATCCAAGTATAGGCAGAGTGCGTGTTGGTAAGTCAGGGGAGCGGCGTCCTCTTGGTATTCACATGACCACAATGAGAGAAGAGTAGAGTTGAGTAACATCTGAATTGCGTATAGGGGATCTACCTTGCAATAGCTAGGGGATCTGAGTCTGAGCTCTCAGCATTAATTTAAGCAGGGGTGGGGGAAATATATCTTCAGGATTCAAAATGTTCAGTTTATACAACTGAACAAGATTTGAAATTGTGAGTAAATGCAAACAATCCTTTGAATACCTCCATTTCAGCTGTTATTTTATGGTAATTCACAAACACAGCTGTAATATCTGAGATGGCGTTACTCTGCACATGTGTGCAGTTTTCTTTGACACACATGTTTGTTTTCTGTGTCTCTTGCTGTACTAGCAAATTCTTCCCATCTTGACATCTGAGTTTTCTGTCATTCACAGCTTTTGGAAAGGTGGAAGAGTAAAATAGGAACACTTTCCAAGTACATATTTTAGCAGTACTAGTACACAGATGTTAGTACTAACTTATGTTATTTGGCAAGGAAGAACTTTTCTATATTCTGGAATATAGTACTGATGTCTGGGTTTTGTGAAATCCAGCTTTTTTCTTGTCTGTTTCTAAAACATAAAATGACAAGTAAAGTAACAGTTCCTAAGCAAAATGTTTTGAGGATTTATATGAGATTGTTTTATTAATATTCTATCAGTCATCTTGTGTAGATTCAGATTTTTTACTTTGACATATGATTTATTCGTTTTCTCTAACTTAGGCTTCAAGCAATATTACAGACTGAAAAAGGGTTGCAAGATTATCAATAATATTTTTTGGCTTGCTTCTTCAACACAAATCATTTATCAAAGTCCTCAAGAAATCCATCTTATACCCTTAAATTGTTGTATTATTAGCATCTTTCTTTAAGACATTTATTAGTTAATATCTTCTAAATATACAGAATGTGACACGATATAATAAGTACACATTGTTATATGAGTGGACACTTTTGGAAATGAGTAAGTTGTTATCCATGGTAAATGTGCAGTTGAGCTTTAAGCTATACTTTGATAGGGATTCAATGATAAAATTCTGGGCTGTTTTTGATAGTATATTTAATAATAAGGAGTTGGAATTGTAAGCTCTATAAGTTCAAAGATGGTGTTTAATTTGCTCCTATTTCTTTTCAACACTTAGCACAGTGCTTGGCAATTGCAAGATGCTCGATAAATAAACGTTGAGCTTTAGTTGCACAAAAGGAAAAATGTCAATGGTGTGATATCTAAGGGACCATCGCTAGCATCTTTTCTTTTTACATTTAATTTATTGTACCTAATCTACTTGGGTTTGTAACTTTGTTTATCTATTTAGAGCATTGGTAAGTTAGTATAATTTAAATATCTCCTCTTTATATTTTTATTTTTGGGTACCATATAATTCTTTAGTTAATAGTCATAACTTTTCTTGCAGCCTTGAGAAATAAAACTCTGGCGTTGCAAAGACTTTTGTATTTATGACGATTGAAGTCTTTTTTTCTGCGTGTTATGGTTCCAAGTTCCTGGTTGCTGGCATTTATTACTGGTGTGAAAAGTCTTCAGTTTTATGAGCATAAGTTTCCTTGCCTGTAAATGGAGGATAATAATACTTTATCAAATTGTGAGATTAATTGATATAACCAACATAAACAAACATTATACATGAGTATAATATATATTATGCATATAAACCTGCTTGTTAACCAGGGAAATTGATCCTGGAAGGACAGGCATGGTATACCTAATGTTGGTCCAAGCTTTATATATGTCATAAGATGTTCTCACAGTCTGGGTTATGTGCCTTCCTGTGGACAGATTAATGTCTTTGTGACTGGACAGAAATAACCACATGGAGCATTTGATGCCCAGAACAAAGGAGGAAAGAGTGGGGAGGGGAAAAAAACATTTCTGTTTATGCTATACATCCTGGGCTACCTTGGAGAACAGCTTAGAAACAAACATAAAATGAATGTATTCCTTCACTCAGAAATTATAGTGAAATTCCCATATGTGTAAAGATTATGCAGACAGTGTTACAAGGAGTGTGGGCAACATATATCTTTCCCTACAATATAGGGGAAACTGATCCAAAGACTAAACTTCTAAATTTGTCTTTAAAATACGCTAAAACATGTTCAGAGTTGTTTTCCTTTTTTTTTTTTTTCTTTTGGTGAGTCTAGGAGTTGAACTCAGGGCTTCACGCTTGCAAAGCAGGTGCTCTACCACCTGAGCCACATCTCCAGCCAATTTTGCTTTGGTTATTTTGGAAGTGGGGTCTCATGAACTATTTGCCCAGGCTAGCCTTGAACCCTGATCGTTGAAATCTCAGCCTGCCATGTAGCTAGGATTACAAGCGTTAACAACCAGTACCTGGCTTGTTTTTCATTCTTTCTGAGGTACCATTTCAATAAAATATGAATGACATATATATAGATGATGTTATCATTAATATACTCAATAACATACATCATTAAAAGACAAATTTGCTCAGGCATAAGATTATATCCTGTCTTGTATCCTTATTTAGAATATCTGTACAGTATTTATTTTAGGTTTGGAAAATAATAATCACTACCTTTTACTGTGTTCCTATTATTGTCAGGCAGGTTGCAAATATTTAAATTGGAGAAACAAAGTACTATAGAAAATATGAATATGGGCTACAGAATTGGATGTGAATTCAAATTTGAATGCTAGCATTTATTATTGGTGTGGAAAGTTACTAAGTTTGGTAAGCATAGGTTTACTTGTCCATAAAAGGAGGCTAATACATCAACCCTCAGTATCTATGGTGTATGGCTCTAAGGAGTCAGCCTTTGAGGATATGTTCCGTGCATGCTCAGGACGCATGGCATTTAGCACAGTACTGTGGACGTGGAATTCAGTTTTTTTCCCATAGTGCTGCCTAATTCTGCTAAGGCCACTCCCTCCCGCCTTCAAACAAATCTCGAATTGTCACTTGATTACTTCAATGAAGTTCACTTTTACCTTACTTTAAGAGTTCCATTTGCTTTTTGGGAGGCAGATTTTCACACAATGAAAGGCAGGGAAACACTCAGCAGATCCCACCATGACTCAAACACAACTGACTATAACCAGACTGACTGAGAACTTCTCAGTGTCAACTGAGCTGTGGAATGCACGTGCACAAATTAAAACTTTTTGTTTTTGAAATTTCTTTTGATTTATTTATAATTTATATATTTTTGACCAAGCTTGTTCAAAACAGCATGTAAAGAACAGGCAAATAAGGCAGGCTTACTCTAGTACTTCAAATTATTGTCAGAATAATTGATACAAACATCACATATAATAAGAATATTTAATGAATATATAATACATATAAAATATTTTATGCTTATTAACTCTATTTTATATAAGATTTCATATAATGTTCTTTCAGTTCTCATTTTAATACTATGTGCTAGGAGCCTGCCCCCCAAGAGCTAACCGCTGGGATTCAAACCCATTCTTTCTGACTGAGAAGCCTTCCTACCAGGCAACCAATGACAAAGCAAGGTGCTGGTGGTAACTGGTTCTTTTCAGTCTCTCAAAGGAGTTTATCTGGAAGTGTGCTCCCAAATGTGTTACAATATTCTTTTACTTAAGTGTGTACTCATTTTGGTTCATGCTGGTTAGTGCTATGTTCTAAATTAGCCCATATTCTTAGCCTATAAACCTCATTTCTACTCTGAGAAAAAAAAAGTTGCCTCATAGCTATAAAGAGAACCTACATTAGGTTTTGTTAAATATAAGCACAAAATGTTGTTCATTCCTTAGAGGGGAAAATGTGTGCATTTGATTCAATCCTGAATAATATGTAGGTCTTTTTACGCAGAATTTTGGAGAAAGAAGGAAGCATGACTATTCTTTTTGCTAAGAGAAATAGAAGTACCCAATGCTATTGTACTTCAAGTCAGATTATTTTTGTTTAAAGTTCAACGTCGTCGTCATTGTCACTGCCACCATCGTCATCGTCATTTATCTAACAATATCAATACCAAAGTGTTAAAACAATTGTTCAGTATGTCAAAAGTAATTTTTACTAAAAACAGGTAGCTATGCACTTAGGTTTTCAAATGATTTACTTTTTAATAGAAATCATTTTTAAATTGTATATAATTACAGGTTATTACAATAATTATATTGTTGTCACTTATTTATGGTTTTGATGTCTCCTTTGGCAAGAAAGAGTGGAATTGCAAATAGAAAGAGTGAATATCTTGGAATGCTGGCATTTATTATTGGTGTGGAATAAGTGAATTACACCTGTTAAGTTTCCAACAGAACAAAAATTATGAGGGGAGGGGAACCAAACTAACCCAGTAAAAAAAATAATAACTTACCCAGTAAAGTAACTTTCATAATGACTATGTGCTGAAAAATTTAAATATATATGTAAATACAAATTTTATCAATCTCTCCATCAATAATGGATAAATACACATACACAGTAATAGACAGAGGAATGCTGTAAGGAATTGCAGATGAACTGATACTTGAAATACTTCATTTCTGAAAAAATAGAGGAGGTTCCTATTTTACGAATTGTTGAAACACTTAGCTTAAAGAATGACATGATTAGAGATGATTTTACCTTATGTTATATTTTTATGGTCTAATAATTTCATGATGATTAAGATAAAAACAGAAAAATTAATAATAAATGCTGGCATTTGAGACTGGCAAATAATTACCTGCAATTTGACTTATTCACTATAAATCACTCAGTGAGTTACTGTGATCCAAACAAGCTAATGTTTATTTTTCATTTTACAATATATGATTAGAAAGATACTAATTTCTTACCTTGGAAAAACTGTTCAATACTATCTAATATATATTGTAATATACTTGCTTATAATTAACATTTAAGAACTATAACACAAATGGGAAATAAATTTCCTTTATGTGATTACTTAATTATTAATGATTCTCCTTTACTTACATTCTAGAACACAAATCAACTTCACAGTGGCTATTGATTTTACAGCATCAAATGGTGAGTATTATGACTATTCCATTATATTAATTATCACTAATTAAGTGAAAAATATTTTTTATTTTCACAAGGGTTAAATATTATATTCCTACCTTTACATACTTCTGAAGTTTTTCATAAAAATTCATGTAACATTTTATTTATTTGGAATATTATAAAATAGTTCTAATATACAAATAACTACAAGAAATATAATGAAAAAGCCTAATAGATTTACTAAATGCTGAAATATTGTCTCTTGTTTACATGTATTTAAAAAGAATACAAATTTTAGACATAGTTAAGCCCATACTATACTTCTGCCCCATTCTACCCTTTATTCTTTTCCATACACTTCTTAAGTGTGTCTAATTATCATCCTCAGTCATATAGTAGTTTTGTATGTACTCATCCATATAAACATAATTCAACAGCACATGTACCTTACACAACATGTTTAATTTTTACTAATTTTTTAAAGAATTACTTCACTTAACACATCTGTATGTAATTCATGAGGATGGGTTGACATATATTCCGTGTATGGATATTCATAATTTATGTAGAGAACATTTTACAAAAGGAAAGTTAATGGACTTTCATTTTGAACAGAACAACCATTTGAAATCAGTCATGTTGTATCATAAGAACATGATCCCCCTTATTTATCTTTTGTCAGAAGTTGCCACGAGTTTATATTTTTCTACAGATGGTCCCTGAATTTTGATGGTTTGACATACAGTTGTTGATTTTATGAAGTCATGAAACTAACATACATTCAACAGAAACTGTAAAATTTTGAATTTTAGTCTTTCCCTGGCTAACAATAAACAGGCTCATATCCCCTTATGAAGCTGGGCAGCAGTGTAGCTCCCAGTCAGCCACTGAATCTCAAGAGTAGACAGCTCCTACTCAGGGATGCTGAGCTATGGTGGTGATGAGGTTAGTGTACTAAGTGCAGTTGAATTTCCATTATTTTCAATTTTCAATGTGTTTATTAGTATGTAATCCCATAGTATGTTGGAGAATCTCTGAAGATTTGTTTTCCAAATTATTTACTGTGCCTGAGCTCTTACAGCATACTCACTTTACTTCACATTGCCTCACATCTCACACAAGAATAGTATTTTTAGGGAAGAAAGCATCATAGGAGAGAGCACTTAATCTAACCCTTCTCTTATACAAATGAGCAAACTGAGATTCAGAAAATACTTTTACCAATAAATGCATCTCGGCTTGTTTATTCTAGAGTTAAAACTGCTCACTTTTCATATATATTAAGTTGATTCTCTAACACTATGACCTCAAGTTAATGACTTTCGCTTATGTGTTTTATTCAGTAAAATATGGAACACAGAAGTGATAAAGTTCAACTGCATTAAAAAGCTTTGTTCACTGATGAATTTTAGCACTACTGTGAGAAATAATAATCTATCCAGTAGAAAGACACAGGCTACTGAAACTTACCTAAGAGGAAATAGAAGATCTGAATAGACCTGTAAGAAACATTGGATTAGTAATTAAAAAAATATACCCTCAAAGTATAGCTGTCTGAGCTGGGCCCAGATAGCTTCATTGATGAAATCTACCAAATATTTATTTTTTTTTCATTTTTCTTTTATTATTCATATGTGCATACAAGGCTTGGTTCTTTTCTCCCCCCTGCCCCCACCCCCTCCCTTACCACCCACTCCGCCCCCTCCCGCTCCCCCCCCTCAATACCTAGCAGAAACTATTTTGCCCTTATCTCTAATTTTGTTGTAGAGAGAGTATAAGCAATAATAGGAAGGAACAAGGGGTTTTGCTGGTTGAGATAAGGATAGCTATACAGAGCATTGACTCACATTGATTTCCTGTGCATGGGTGTTACCTTCTAGGTTAATTCTTTTTGATCTAACCTTTTCTCTAGTACCTGTTCCCCTTTTCCTATTGGCCTCAGTTGCTTTAAGGTATCTGCTTTAGTTTCTCTGCATTAAGGGCAACAAATGCTAGCTAGGTTTTTAGGTGTCTTTCCTATCCTCACCCCTCCCTTGTGTGCTATCGCTTTTATCATGTGCTCATAGTCCAATCCCCTTGTTGTGTTTGCTCTTGATCTAATGTCCACATATGAGGGAGAACATACGATTTTTGGTCTTTTGGGCCAGGCTAACCTCACTCAGAATGATGTTCTCCAGTTCCATCCATTTACCAGCGAATGATAACATTTTGTTCTTCTTCATGGCTGCATAGAATTCCATTGTGTATAAATACTCACCAAATATTTAAATAAGAATTAAAACTAATTCTTCACAAGCTCTTCCAAAACAAAGTAGAAGAGGAATGTATACTTCCCCATTCATTCTGTGACATATAATTACTTTGATACATCACAACAATAGCCAAAAACTAAAGATAAGTATTTCTTATGGATGTGGATGCAAAAATCCTCTACAGAACACTAGCAAACTGAATCCAGCCACATATAAAGAGGATTATATCCTCTGACGATGTAAGATCTGTGCCAGAAATGCAAGGTTATTTTAATATTCAAAAATTAGCTCATATAATACAATCTATGAACACAAGAAAATGCAAAACCACACACTAATCTCATTTAATGTGGAGAAAGCATTTTTAACAAAGTTCAAAAGATGTGCAAGATAAAAACACTCAACATAATACCTATAGAATGGGACTTTCTAACCTTTTGAAGGTAATCTATGAAAAACCCACAGTTAAAATCATGCATAATGGTGGTGTTGTATCCTGAGATCTGAAACAAGACAAAGATATCTGCTTTTACCACTTCAATCAATATTGAATTGTAAGTTGTGGCCATGGAATTTAGGCAGAAAATGAAAGTTTATATATACAGATTAGAAAGGAAAAAGTGAAATGAAACTATTTTTGCAAGCAAATGATCTTGTATATAAGAATCCACTAAAAACCTTAGGCTACAGATGAAAATTCTAATGAGAAACCATTTTATACCCATAAGATGGCTGTAACCAGTTAGATAACAAGTATTCTTGGCAACTTGAGAGGTAAAGGTGGAAGGGGAAATATAAGCATACGGTGACGAGATGAGTCTGATTGAAGATGCCAGAAAAAAATAGGCAGCATCTTCAGATGGATAGGGTAGGATCCTGCTATATGAAGTAGGTTAAGAGAATAAGACAGCCTGATGTATTAATGGTACTTTTAAAGTTACTTTTAGCAAAATAGAATTATATACCATGCTGCCATCATTGAATAACACCCTTCTTGTGGTTGAGAGTTATGTTTAAAAATGTCTTCGTCCAATAATGGTATTTCTTACTGATTCTAGTAGACTTTTGACCAAGTGTCAAAATCCCCACTTTAAAAGAAAATTTGCACTGCATTGGATAAGTTTAAAATGCAAGGAAGACTTTATTCAAGATTGTTGCAATAAGGATTGAGGATGTTACAATAGAGGAGAGAAATTGAACTCAATGTCTGAGACAAAAGGCTGAAGGATTTTAAGTTTTGAGGTGAGGTAGTAGAAAAGTATTAGAGAGCATGAGCAAGGATATTGGCCTATGGGATTAAGTCATCTGTATTTGCTAACTGGCACTTATTGAAAATAGGCTCCTACCTTCTCATCGAGGCTAGGAGACTGGTATACTGTCCATCTTCATGATTATATTTCAAAGGAATGGATATCTGATCCTTGAAAAAGATATTCTTTGGTAAAAGAAGGTTTACATGTCAAAGGGGAAGAGAAAGAATTACAGTTGCAAGTTTTCTAAAGCAAATGCTCTAAGAAAAGCAAGGTCAGTGGCCCAAAGTCACAAAGAAACATGTCTGAAGTTAGTCAAATTGAGGACATCTTGGTCAGAAGATACTTCTTTAGAAATTTTGACAAGTGGAACCAACATTTGAATGCTGATAACACTTTGGAAATAGAAATGCATTTGTGCACTGAATTATTTTTAGGACAAAAAATGTGTTGATATAAATTATATGTATTATAAACCAAGGAGCATCTTTTTGTTTTCTCTCTGGTGCTTATTCTTATATTTTTTCCTTATAGAAAAATCTATGCCCCAAGGCTTTCCTTCTTCAGGCAATGTTTTAAAGTGCAATTGAGCTTTATGTGCTATTACCAGTCCAATTTAACTTTCCATTTTCACTTAAGAAACTAAAAGGACTTTTCAAGCTGCCTTTGTGCTGGTAATTAGACTAACTCAATGTGAATCTCAATGTGTTTGAGTGGCAGCACATATGTTACATTATCTCTCAATTTCGTCTCTATTCAAATGTAACACCCTACATAGAATAAGCATTTTAGAAATATAAAACCTTGTGCATGACCCAGACAATAATAATAGTAGCTAAGCTTATAATTCTATGTGCCTTAATAGTTTTTAATCACTTTCAAACACAATCTCCTTTTGTCCTCCCAGTAAACTCTGCAATAGGATTTATTTTAAAGAGATTGTCCTACAAATGGTGAGTCTTGACTCTGGGACTCAGGCTTGTTATTTAATATCTAGTTAGAAAGTCTGAATAATTCTTCCAACCTTGATATTTAATAAGCTTAAATTTGAAAATCTCTATGTTCTCCTTTTTAAGTAATAAATTAGGATATCTCTCAAATATTCAATTTCTATTCATTTGTGATACAACTTTAGAAAAGCCTCATAATTATTGACATTCATTAAATCAGTTGGTCCTCTGGGCATAAGAATTCAAGCTTCAGGGCACATATTTTCTAAAATACTATAATAAAATAAGATTAACAAAAGTAATTTTGCACTTCTTCTAGAATGGAAATCCAAATATAGCCTGTGGTATTAACAACAGGAATATTTTTTTAAATTTCTGCATGTGATTTAGCATCTCTTTGAGAAACTTTCTGTATGTCTGATATATTGTAATACATTCTTGTGTTAATATCCACTCAAAAAGAAACTATAGACACTAAGAATATAGGTAAAAGAATCATAATTTTGAGTATTTCACTCTGAAATACATATCAAAAATAATGCTAAAAATATCTGCAGCCTGTTTGCTTATGTTTGAAATATATTGTCTGTCCTCAGGCAACCCTGCCCAGCCCACTTCTCTCCACTACATGAATCCTTACCAACTGAACGCCTATGGTATGGCATTGAAAGCTGTTGGAGAAATCGTTCAAGACTATGACAGTGATAAGATGTTCCCAGCTCTAGGTTTTGGTGCAAAATTGCCCCCAGATGGAAGGATATCTCATGAATTTGCTTTGGTAAGAATATATCAAAAGGATTTGATAGTTTGAAAAAGTTAATATGTTGGATACTTTAATAGTGATTTCCTGCTTATGCTTTACTCATTTGTGCAGCAAACTTTTGTGACCATAACTCAACTTGATTTTGGTAAATAATTGGGCCGTGATCTTAATGGAGAAAAGACTGTAAAATAATCAATAAAACTACCTAAAGTGCATCTGATTTAAATATAATTGGTCTTTTCTGGTTATCTATTGCTGCATAACAAACATCTCTAAAATCTACAAAACAACATAATTCTGTTATGCTCACAGTTTGTAGGTCAGGAACTCAAGCAGACGATAATGGGGGTTAGCACATTTCTTCTTTTCAGTAACTGGGGTCTCAGCTGGGATGATTTGAATAGCTCAAAATGGCTGGAATTGTTTGACTAGGAACATATTTCTTGGTTTCAGGTCTGGCTAAGGTTGAATTCCTTGGATATTCTCCATGTCATGACTTTTGAGGGTAGCATATGTCCTATGATGACTTCTTTGTGCATGTTCATTTCTGCTGCCTGAGCTGAGATGCTTGGTGTTGTCAGGATTCCTGGACATTTCTCTGTCTTTTTGCATTCATCCTATCCTTGTGGGCTTCTTTCTTCTATGGTAGTCTCATGATAGAGTTCCTGCATGGCACCAGTTTTCTCTAAGTAATCTAAAGTCTGCGAAAGAAATTCCAATGTCCTCTACATCATAGACTTATAAGGCCAAGAATGTTATTTCTTCCACATTCAATTAAGTAAGTTACTGAGGCCAGCCTGGGTTCAAGGTAGGGAAATTAATTTTTAACACTCAGTGGAAAAAATGTCAAAGAATGTGTGGCTATTCTTAATCATCCATCTTTTGTCATGCCTAAGAAAAAGAATGGTTGTGTTAAACTAAATGAAGTTTATTAATCTTCCATCCAATTTTTTTCTTTTTGCCCTTTTGTGTGATTTTATTCTTTTCTCCCTTGAATTCTCTCCTTTTCTGCTTTTCCTGTCTCCATGTTCATTTTTATTTGCTATTTTCCCCTTGATCTGTTCTTTGAATCCAGATTAGATGCTTATAAGACAGACAGACATGGCTACGGTTTGAGTGTGTCTTTTCCAAAATTCTGGTGTTGCCAACATTATAGCACTAAAGGTGGAACTTTAAAAGGTGATGAGGCCAGGATCACTCCTCTATCATGAGTAGGGTGAAGGCTCTAATAAAGAGGCTTCACCTGACATTTGGTTTCTCACCCTTCTGCCCACCACCATATGAGGACCCCGCAATCTTCTCATGTGGAAAATACAGCCCTTACTCTCAGACAGCTGAGCCACTAAAGAATTGATTTTAGACTTCCTTTTCTCCATAAATGCGAGAAATACTTTTCTGTTGTTTATGAATGATCCAGTCTCAGGTGTGCTGTTGTAAGAGCACAAGATGACAAGATCATATCTCTTAAAGTCTGAACAAATAGTTTCCCAAGTTGATGAGCAAAACAATAATTATATCAATGATGATATATCTCAATACTTTAGTGTTACTGCTGATTTTTTTTTCAAAACATTTTTGTCTTCTTGAGTAAGTGAGACAGACCATGGTGAAGTGATCTTCAGTGAGATGGTATTTGAATTGATACTAAAAAATTACTTAGTATTGAGACATTTTAAACTCACTGTTTTATACAGTCATCATCAAATTCCTTTATGGTGGATACATTATGGCAGACAGGTACAATATATCACTCACATTGATCTTGGTGAGAAGAGGGCTCACAAGAATTGTATGGTTCAGTTCAGATGCTCAGAAATTGGTCAGAGTTACAAAGACTAAGCCTTGAACACAAGTCAGTTGTGTTTTAGCATAACTGCTTTTAACTTACTATTAAACTGTTTCTTACAAAAGCACCCATAAGCCTACTACTCAAATACATCTTTATCAGTGCAATTTATATAGTTACAGAAGCTTTTATATGATAGTTTTTGTCTTCTGCAAATATATTTTAAGACAAGTAATTTTACATTTTTATTTCTATACTTACTACTGCTTTTCTATTCCATTACCCACACAATGTTAGGAAAGGCTGCTGGACGGTTCAATTCTTTCTTCCATGAAATGGCCTACATGTCACATTCCCAATGCCATATAAAAATGAGTATCTGGTGGGATTTTGTTGTGTCTTAGAGAATTAAAATCTCCCAGAAACTTATAAAACCGTGAAAATCACTCATGTGATCTTAAGTCTTAAGTGCCTCAGGAAAAAGGTCATGAGCTATTTTAAAACCTAGGAAAAGGAATAATTGTGTTAAATTAAATGAGGTTTATTAATTTGCCTTGTACATGTTTCTTCTCACCCTTGTGTATAAGCTGTTTTTTTTTTCTTTTCTCCTTCTACTTTTCTCTTTTTCTGCCTTTTTCTACTCTTATTCCTTATGGCTAAACTTATACACATATCTATTGATAAGGAAGATTTTTTTATTATTATTATTATTTATGCTTTAAGATGTTATTCAAGTCCAATTAAAAATTTGTAGGATAAAGGTCATACCCCATGAAATCTATGAAAAGTAGTCTACCAAATTGATGAGGAAACAATCGTTTTGTTGCTTATGATTATATTACTTTGTTTATAGAGCCCTTTTTGTTTTCTTGGATAAGTAGGACAAGTGGGTATTAAGTAGGTCTTCAATGGGATAATATTGGCTTGGTGCCTGCTAAAGTATTCTGTAAACCTTATCCTAAGTCACTGTGCTATACATGCCTAGGTACCAAAAATGGCAAATACAAAAGCTTGAGTTCCATTTCCATCTGACAATTAATGACCTACTTAGCATTAACAAACCCTCATTTTCCATGATAAGAGTACGTGATACATTGCCCTTAATACTTCTCACAAAATTCAAATAATTTTTCAGAGAGCAAGGTTTTTGAAAATTAAATAATCCCTAGTGAGTGAGTCTTGGCTAGCACAAATCTTGACATTGAACTTTGATGTATCAAAAGAATCTCAGGTTGAAACCCATCCTTTCATGTGAAATATGCACAAGAATAGACACCATAGGCAAAGAAAAGGGAATGGAAAAGGAAAGGAATAATTTCCTTCCACATTAGCATTTTGGGTGGTAAAAAGAATGAGTCATTGCTTTCCTCTCTTACAGGTGTTGATGGTGCCTTCTAGTGTAAGTCTGAAAATGCAATCCTGTAGGCTCTAGAATAGTGTTTCTAGTAGGCATGTCTCCAGTGGCTCTTGAAGGCAGGTCTTCCATATTGGTCAGAAGAAATGCCACACTTGTCCAAGTGTTAGCTCCTTTTAAATACTTCATAGTACTTACATACTTCTCACTTATTTTGGCTTTTATAGAAATTATGCAATTTAATATTTATGTGTATGTTTTTTAATCCAACTACATGCTAACACTTTAATAACCAGGAGTCCTTAGCACTGTATTATGCATAAAATAGAAGCTCAATAGATGTTTTTTGAATAAAAGGAAGAATTCCCCCAGATTTTCCCTACAGTAAGTAATCTCTGACCAGCAATGACACACTTCTGAGCAGAGCAACAGCCTCTCTGAGCTTCTCTCCAGTATTATATCAGTCTGTTATTCCTGCTGAAAAGTGTTACAGATTGTTGGCAGCTTTGGTCTATTGCTTCCTGCATGGAACTGGATCCAAAGCCCAGCATAATTCCTGCAGAAGCCAAAAGGAAGGAAAAATGGGTGAACTGGATAAACCTCCTTATCTATGGATTTTTGCACAATTATTTTAATTCAGTTCTTTATGCTTTTCTATGTGTTTGCAAGTTAATGTTCATCATTTTCTAAATGAAAAAGATTACTAATTAAAGACAACTCCAAAATAGGGCACCCATTGCCGTCTTCATTGATAAACAACAAAATTAAGTACACTTATTTCAGTAACATCCAGATTTACTTCTATGCCACAACCATGCCTAAAGTCATTCTAATTGGTTTTACCAAACAAAAATTGATTCCCTGGATAGTTAGGTCGAGAAATTAGTTTTTAAACAGACTCAAAAGACCGTTTATAACTCACTGCAACTTTGTCATTATGAGGAACATCTCATATTGATAGCTATAAAATATTTAAAATGATCGTGATATAAAACAAAGCATATATTAAAAAGGGAAAGATATGATTTCATGTTACAAATAGTATTCTTATCCTCTCAGGCATTTGAAAAAATTTTAGAGCAACTTATTATGATATTAGAACTAATTCAGAAAATCGGCACTATAAGCCCTATACCGATAAACAGAATGTCCACCAATTACCTGCCACTACCAAAAGAGGGGAAATGGTGACCTTGTAATTTCAATTCCAGAGGAATAGAGAAAACTGTACTATAGAAAAATAAAACCCCAGTCAAAAATGTTGAAATGCTAATCAAAAAAGTAGCTCAGAACTACTCTAGTTTGTAATTGTTCCCCTAAGACAGATGTATAATACATTTTATATACTCAAAGTCAGTAATGAGTTTTAATTTTAATTAGCTTCATACCTTATCAAGGGAAAAGAGCACTATAAAATCTTATTTAAAGGAAGGTTAAATAGGTCAGCTCAGTTTAACATCAAAACCAACCATTTACCACTTTGTATTAAATGTTAAATTTTTACATTTTAATTTCAGACAACGCATGTAACCAATTTTATAATGCAAAGAGGTCTTTTATTATTTTTATGTCTTAAAACATTATGTGAGGGTTAATTAATAAAAGCATTTGAAAAAAATACAAATGTAGTAGGTGTAGCTCAAGTCATAGGGCTCTTGCTTTGCAGTGTAAAAGTTCTGAGTTCAAACCCCAGTCCCATCAAAAATAAATAAATAAATAAATAATAAAGGAAAATATGAAAAAAGAGACAAAACTAAAAGGAAAAAATAGATATAAATGCCTCTAACAAATGATGAAATTGAAGTAGCTGGTAACAACTAGCTCAGTTAGTTTTCACGATCTCCAAACCTCACAACATTCTGAGGATTTTGTAATGTGGTGACATAAAGGTACTTAAGCTGGAGCTGGAGTGCCTGGATTCAAGTCTTTAATCTGTTACTTATGTGACCTTGGGTAAACTGTCCAAGCGCTCAGTGCCTCAGTTTCTTTATCTGTAAAGTGGACATATTGACAGTAATTCACCTAATTTTAGGGTTGCTATTAAAAATTAAATAGCACATGTAAATACTTTAGTATAAACTTGCTGCATAGAATTCAAGAATATTTAGTATTTAGGTGTAATTTACCACTTGTGATTGTTAAGGTAAAAACATTCATGCAGGAATTATTTATATATCTAAATGTAGTTATTGTCATTGTTTAAAAATATATCTACAAAATTTTTTATTTAGCCCCTCCTTCCAAAGGTGGAGCCTGACTCTCCTTTCCTTTCATTGTGAGCTGCACTTAGTGACTCACTTCTAGCAAATAGATTAAAGGGAAGTAATAGAACACAGCTTCAAGGGTAGCCTATGAAGGCATTGGGGCCTTATCCTCGCTCTCTCTATCTCTTGGATTACTTATTCTGGGGGAAGTAAGCTGCTGTTTGTGCGAAGCATCCCTATGGAGTGTCCCTGTGGCCTCTTACTGACAGCCACGTGAGTCTCCTTGGAAGCAGATCCTCCAGACCATCAAGCTTTCAGATGATACATTGCCACATCAACACTTTGATATAACCTCATGAGAGATTTTGCTCAAGAACCACCAAGCTAAGCTGTTTCTAGAAATTTTCCCAAAAAATGTGTAAGGAAATAAGTGTTTATTGCCTTTTGCCACTATACAAAAGGGTATGACTTTGGGAATAATTTGTTACTGGACTAGGGAGAAAATTAGAGCTAAAAATGACAGAGCATGAAAGATATGAAATAGAAGGATGAGGTGTTGATCAGGTGTTGCCTCCAAAACAAGAGCTTGTTGGTAGCTCATTCCATTTCCCTGAACAACATAGATATGTTTCTTGATTTTTTCTTTTACCTTGTCTAGAGTTTCTTACTCTAGATTATATTCCCTCCATCCCCTTCTGTAGTTGGAGTTATCAGTTGTGGCCTGTGTATGCGGTGGATATTTTATCTTTTTCCTTTTTCAAGTGAAGCTGTTTGAGTTGATAACATTTTTTTCAGGTTTTAATACATGTCCAATGCATATATTAAATAGGAAAAGTATAAAATACGTTAAAGAATAAAATAAAAGCTGCCAGCTTCCTTATCAACCAGAGGCAAACACTATCAATATTTTGGTTTCCTTCTCAGACTTTTTATGTGTTCACCTCCACATGTACACCTAAGATACTATTAATTTTACAATGTGTGATATTTAGCTTCTTTTAAGATTATTTTGAATTTTCTCCCTTCCTTTTTTGAAGAGTATGCATCTTTATATCATCATATTCTGATCAGTATAATATACTCTATCATTGGCCAATTAATTGATTGGAAATTTTTGCTATTATAAATCTTGAAATGAGTATTCTTTCAAAGTACATTTATGTATGCCCTGTTTGTTTTTTCAATTATACTTCACAAGGACTATTAACTTTTTAACTTTTTTTTGCCTACAACTTTCTACTAGAATGGCAACCCTCAAAATCCTTACTGTGATGGCATTGAAGGGGTCATGGAAGCTTATTATAGAAGTCTGAAATCTGTACAGTTGTATGGGCCAACCAACTTTGCTCCGGTAATTAATCATGTAGCAAGGTAAGTAGAGAATAGATAAGACATTTATTCTAATGCATTCGACCATGGCCAAAGTGTTACATTATTGCTGGCATGGCTCCATGTTTCAAAGTTGTTTTCTTCTAGCTTATTCCAAGAAAGTGATGAAAAAGATGCATGGTAGAGTCTTCATCAAGCTATCATGATATTTTTCTGAGGAGTTTACATCAAAATGTCAAGTAAAGAAACATATGCTGGTTTATGTTAGAACCTGTCTTTTTCAACCAAGGAAAATGTGTTTTTTAAAAAACTTCCGTGAGAGCAATCACAGGATTGGTAGTGATCTCAGATGTATAAATCATTCATATCTAATGTCATGTTCCATTGGAGCATGAAAGTAATGACACTGAATTCTATTAAGACAACTTTTGAAGCTTTCTTTGATATATAGGGCACATTATTTTAACCTCTTTGAAATTAATATAATAGCTAATTTTATAAATTCCTAGAACTCTACCTGAATATAGTACATTGTATTGGGCTCACATATAATTGCTTATGACTCCAAGTTTTGGACAATGTGTTAAAATGTAAAAATCTGTTTATACTTATTTTTTTCATTAGTGGATAAATTAACTAGATACCACTTTTCTTTTCTTTGCAGTACTTGGGTTTGAACTCAGGGTCTCACACTTGCTAGATAGGAGCTCTACCACTGAGCCACTCCACCAGCTCTGTTTTATGTTGGGTATTTTCAAGTTAGGTTCTCATGAAATATTTGCCAGGGCTAGCTTTGAACCATGATCCTCCTGATCCTGCCTCTTGAGTAGCTAGGATTACAGGCATGAACCACTACTTTTTCAATCTCTAAAAAGTTTGCTTTGAGCCAGTGGCAAATTCTAATAAAACTCTACCTTATTTACAGGTAATCAAAAAAGTTTAGCTCTCATAACCTTTCAAATATGTTCCCAGAATTTGAAAAATGCTGTGTTCTGATCATTTTATTAATGTACCAAGGCAACATAAACTCCAGTTCTCTGAAGGTTCTGGTATTTTACCACTCTTTCTGTTGGACATAACCAGCAACTTATATGTGCTGTACTTTCCATTATCTGGGAGGTGGACAGGTGCTAAAGTACCCCCGTACCCAGGCTGAACTCAGCAGAGCCCCCTGGGGGACTCCACCTTCAGGATGACAGTGACATATTGAAGATCATTCTCTGAGTGTGACCCTTTGACTTGGGTTTTTCACACATTTTCATCTGTGATCTCTGTCAGGATGTGAATTTTTATATCTCAACCCTGTACATACACAACCAAAAAAGGGTTATTTATGAAATGATACTTATCCTTATTTCATATTTTTTCTTTATTTTTATGGTTTGCTATTCCTTTCTGTTCTGAATTCAGATTTTGATTCAAAAATTGACTTCATAATCCCTAATAGGTCCTTACCTATAATTTGAAAACCATCTCCTACTTTAATATTTAACCTATATAAGAAATGTTATGTATACTATATTTCCCACTGTATTGATGGCTTTCAAATAGAGCAGAGTGAAAATCATATCAATGTAAGATAAAATTTAATCAAGTAAAATAACCATACAGATCACTTTTTATGAAAGGATAAGAGAAAATGACAGAATTTATTTCATGTGAGTTTATTCTGGTTATTACAAATGTGCTCATCAATGTTTACAACTGAATTCTGGCTTTTTGTCCTGATTAATCTCTATTATAAAAGTTAAATTCATAGATAAAAATTTTCTAGATATATTTCTATATACTTCTATATACCCTTTAAACCTACAGGCTCTATATTCTACTGCTTAATGTTTTGTCCAGTGTTTTGTAAATTCTCAAATATAGAAGTAACTGTTAGCTACAGCTTTAAGGCTCTTTAAAAATAGGTCATGATCTAATAATTCTATATCGTTATTTTTAATGAGAAGATAAGAAAAAAACAGGGAAAGATGGCTTTCTTTCCAATAAAATAAGAAGTTCAATGTATTCTTTATTAAAAAAACCTTTCATTCCACCTTTTGTCATTTAAAGTTATGTTTAATTTTAAGCTTTTTTAAATATAGACAATTTCTGTCTCATGTAAAATTATCCAAAACCTTTATCAACAAAAGCTATTGGTTTCCACATCAAAAGGAGTATCATAGTTAAAATATGTTTTACCCCTATTTATATAAAATTTCTTTAATTTTCCATAAATTAGATAAGACTCAAGGCATAAAATTTACAGCATTTGAAGGTTTTATATGCATCGCGAAGCTTTCTAACTCCCAGCTTCTGACTCTGTGATTTCCCAGTCCTCTTTTCCCAGAGCTCTTCAGGGAACATTTCAAGTGATGCAAAAGTCCCACTCAACATCTGTTGATGCCTCATCATAAATTTAAGTGCAAACAGCTTAGCATGGCCTTTAAGGACTTCCATTTTCCACTACGACTGCCCATCCAACCTAATTTCCCTTGACCTTCTCCCAAATGTGCTGCAATTCAGTTGCAAAGAATTGTTGCTTCTTCTGGTCCAAGATATTATTCACATATGTGTTTATCACAACACTTGCCTTTTTTTTTTTTTTTTTTTGGTAGTTACTGGGTTTTGAACTCACAGTCTCATGCTTTCTAGGCAGGTGCTTTACCACTTGAGCCATGCTCCAAGTCCAACACTTTAATACTAACCCATTGTGTAGATATGTTCCACATTGAAGACTCTTCAATCATTATTGTGATTTAATTGTATATATGCATATGTACATACACGCATATGTGTAAAATCAAAGTATAATGTGTCACATGTATTGAGATATCCATGCCTGTTTGTTTGGTTAACTTACCAGAATACCACACATTATGAGTGGATTTTGATTAGCAAGGTTATAACTGGAAACTAAAGAAACTTAAATGATAATTTTTAGTCTTAATCATCTGTGACAAATGTGATTTTGATTTCTATGTATTGTATCAGGTTTCCCTAAGGAAATGGAATCAATAGGACGTATCTAGAAATTGATGTAAATACAGAGATGTATGTCAAGGAATTAGTTTAGGCAATTTCAGGGGCTGTCGAGCATAAAATTTATAGGACAGGTTGGCAGTTTCAAAACTCACGTATTGATACTGCAATATTTAAGTCGTAATTCCTTTTTTCCAGAAAACCGGTTTTTTGCTGGTCAGGCCTTCAATTAATCAGGTGATCTTCTGTATTTAAAGTCATTTGATTGTAGACCTTCACAGCAATACCTAGATTAGTGTTTGATTGAATAACTGGGTTTTATGGTCTAACCAAGTTGACACATAACACTAATTATCATACCTTCTAAAAGAAAGAAATGTTTTACTATTATGCTTTAAATCAAAAACAAACTTAGAATTATAGAAATATTGTCAGGGGCTTCCAGATATTAATTTAACAACACATATAATACTATGATACTATGTTTAAGTCTCACTAATCAATAAAAGTAGGAAGAAAAATATTAAAGAAATTACATACTTATAAGTGTGCAATGTGCATGAACAGAGTTATAACTATGCCCTGACTGATATATTTCTCTTTGTTAACATTTTTTTCAAAAGTTTTTGTTCATCTAAAATTCTGTATCAGTAATTTAGACTCTTCTGAGATAAATTTTATTTGTTGGTATGTTTGACCAGCTTAATACTTCAAAAATAAACACACACCAGTGAAAATATCAGATATTATTTCAGGCTGTTATGAAAATATCACTATTTTCTTCATTTGACTTAGATAATATTTATTGCTTTCTTACTGTTAGTTGTTTGTACCTAATGAGTTACTTGTTTAGAAGCTGCCACATTTCAGGTTTTAAGAGGTAACTATCAGTTTCAATCTATTGTCTATTTATTCCTGATATTGAGAATATTCTAGAATGTAGATAGTCAGCTAAAATTAACTTTCACATCTTCAGAAATATCATTTTTATTTTGGAATTTCCATAATTAATTTTCAAATTGAAAAATGTGTTATGTTTTTTCTGTTCCATCAGTGAGAGCAACAGTTAAATCAAAACGATGATCGTTACTGAGTATGAATTGTCTCTAGCAGTGTTCTCAGTGCTATAATATGTCTATTCCACTTAATCTTTGTAATAATGTTAGGAACTGATAGTAATGTTACTGTTCCTGTTTTGCTGATTAATGAAACATGGATATATAGTGGCCATTTGTGATAGAGATAATATTCCAGCCAAAATAATCTAACTCCAAATCACTATGTTATGTATGATGTCTTGCATCTTTAAACCCGCTCATCTCTACTCCATACAAACAGAAATAAAATATAGCTACCTTTCTTTTGGAAATATTTGGTCACTTCATTACAGGGTCAAAAGTAGTTTGAGGAGACAATTTAGTAACATAAAATTTACCATTAGTTTCTGTTGAAGTGTTTAAGTATATATCCTTTTATTCAATATTAAGATTTCATTCATTGCATAAATCATAATTGAGTTGTTTAAATAAGCATCCTTGAATCAATTTCTTATCTTTTCTTCATGCCCTTTGTAGCACTGGGATCTAATAATAAGCTGGAAGAATATTTCACAAATCTGAGTCAACCATAGAAGCAATCATAGAAATTGGACAGAAACTCTAAAAGAAATGTTTGAATTCCCAACAAATTAACTTTTCTCTTATATTTGCTGAAGTAAAATTAAGATGTAAATTAGTTTAGTTATATTTGAGCAAAGGCAGGAAGGTGAATTTTAATAAGAGTTCTAAATATATAATTACTAAAGGATTCATAGTCAGGTTCCATTATGAAACAAGCTTTATGATAGCTTTAAAGTATATTTTGAGTCTGCAAAGCTGTGTATCATTGTCACCTCTGAGAAGAGCAATTAGGTGTGGAGAGCTTATACTTTTTACTTCACACATTCCTGTAGCTTATTAATTTATTTTCATCTTAAGTATGTAATACCTTTCAAATAAAAGGTTCAATTAGAGGAAATGATAGTACATTGATTTTGTTTAAAATTCAGATTTACTTGCAAAGTGCAGCAATACACTGATGCATAGAGCAAATGCCATAGAAACCATGAAGACTTTTAAAAGAGTAATTCATAGTGCCAATAGTGATAGAAATTAAAATGAATCCTGCAGCTCTTATGTAAAATGCAATTTAATTTCAGATGAACTGTATTTAGGAGTAGAGAGAGCTATACAATAAACAAATTCATTTTTCTATAGCATCAAATGCAGCAATACAAGCACATATGTATTGTAAAGTTAAATGCAAAATTCCTATGAATTTTTAAGTTAAAACAACAAACCAGAGAAATTTCAAGTATACTTTGATTGCTTCAGTGTCTGTCTATCCCCAACCATCTCCATAGTATGACTATAATATAGTCTTCTCTTCCTTAAGACACATGTTCTGCTTAATCAAAAGAAAATAATTAAGCCACCTAGTGTGGCATTTAAATGACTGCAGACTATTCAACTCTGTATTGTTATTGAGTCTGGTGGAAATTTGCCATTTTTAGCAACATAATTTGTTTACAAAAGCATGAGAACAATGTGATAGTACTCCATAGAGGCTTTCCACTACTACTGTTTTTATTGTTGTGCTGGGTGGGGGTACATTGTGGCATTTGCAAAAGTTCTTATATTAGATACATCACACTTGAATTCCCCCCCTCCATCATTCTCCTTTATTCTCCCTTCCCCCATTCCTGGAGTAGCTTCAACAGGTCTCATTTTTCCATTTACATACACAGTATTTATGTATACACAATATTTATGCCATATTCACCCTTCTATGCCCTTTCTCTACACCCTTCACCACTATTTTGAATCTTCCATTAATCACACAAAATATAAAACTGTGTCTTTGAATCATGTGTCAGTAAGAAATGCTTTTTTGAACAAATGTTCATTTAAATATTAAAAATTGAATTTTAAGGGAAACTGTCAGATTCCTTTTCTTTCAGAAAAGAAAATAAGTTCTATCTGATTTAGATTTTTTTCCATTGGGTGTATTAATGCAAACTCCTCAATGTCTAGGGAATCAGTTGTTCAGTGGTGTGGGGGTATTTTTGTCTGTATGTTGCAGAGGACTGTCTTTACAGGGTGCATTCTCTTCATCAGTATATAATGTTACCAGTCATTATATCAGTAGTATGAGTGCATATTAGGTCCTTTAGTATCTGAGAAAGTTGTAAATATCTTTATTCTTCATATGATTGTTAATTCTGCTTTCCAAGAACTGAGCTGTGCTTTGAGATGATGTGCTATTTGTCCATGACCAGCTTGTTCAAACAAGATTTCAATGGGTCCTTCAGTTTGGAAGAAATTTCATTGACTAGCCAATGGAATTTTTCTTGAATCCAACAATTTTTATGATCAAGCTGAGAATTTTTTTGTAACATTGACCAAGATCTTGTTTGCTATCCTGCCTCCTAAGAGTACCATAATGCTCACTCATCACTAGACATGATCTGCATACTAGTCATGTGTAAAACTTATTAAAGTTATCCTGTTGACAGTTTAGATACCTAGAATGTAGAACACCATAGAAAAATAAGAAATACAATAAAATATAATACTCATAAAATCCTCTAAATTACTGAGTAGCTTTGGGGAGAATTCTGATAAATTTCTTTAAGTAGCAGAATGTTTTATTTTATACATAATTTATTTTGTTATCACCCCCCTTCTCGTTTCTCATCAATGAAACATGCACTAAGAACATGAACTATTAGCTGGACACTGATGGCTCATGCCTGTAAGCCTAGCTACTTGGGAGGCTGTGATAGGAAGGATCACAGTTCAAGGTCACTCCAAACAAAGTTCACAAGACCCCATCTAAACCAATAGATGCACACCCTTCATCCTAACCTATGAGGGAGGCTGAGCTCAGGAGAAATGAGGTTCTATACCTGTCCCAGCAAAAATAAGTTTGCAAGACCTCCTCTCAACAGAAAAAAGGTGGGCATGTTGGCGTGTGCCTGTCATCCCAGCAACTACAGGAAACTTAAAATAGGAGGATCATTGTCCAGGAAAATAATTCCCTACCTCACAACTAACCAGAGGCTCAAGTGGTAGAGCACCTGCCTAGAAAGTAGGAAACCCTAAGTTCAAACACCCATGCCACCAACAAAACAAAACAAAACAAAAAAACCAAAAACTTTGAACTGTGGGTGGACCAAAAGGTGTTTCTTCTATTGCATTTCTTTATTGAGGTGAAATTTCTATGCTATTTAAGAACCACTTTAAGGTATATCAATGTCATTTAGTGTAGTCACAATATTGTGTGTGACTCATCATTTCTGTATAGTTTCAAAACAAAAACCATTTTCTATTATTGCTTCAACTTACAGAACTCTGTTAAGTACTGAGTACATTATATGCAATTTATTTATTAACTCATGCAAAAATACAAAGGTATGTTATCTCAGTTTTAAAGATAAAGTAGAGTTCAGATAGTAAAGTAATTTGTAAAAGATCTTACACAATGTTGCTTAGTGAGAAGTCTTTTTCCAAAACCTACATCCATTTCTTTCCTTGTGCTAAACAAACTCTCATTGTGGTGAATTTTATTAGTAAACAAACTTCTAAGACAGCCTGTGTGTGTATTTCAGAAAATTAAAAATAACACACAGCTAGACAGTGTGTTATTTCAGAAAATTGTGCTCTTAACAGTTTGCATAATATAGGTTTTTAACATATGTTTAAATGTTTTCTCAAGATTAAAAGGTTTGGTGCCTGTTCCAAATTGTTATTTAGCAAGCATCAGGTAGAGACAAACTACGAGATTTTCTGTGATATTCAATACCTTTCATTGCTTTTCAGATATGCTTCTTCTGTGAAGGATGGCTCCCAGTATTTTGTGCTCTTGATTGTGACAGATGGTGTTATCTCAGATATGGCCCAAACTAAGGAGTCCATAGTTAATGTGAGTAGGGGTTAGAGGTCTTGAGCTAAGTGACAGCATAGTGCCACTATAGTTGGGAACAGAATCTATTTTATGTGACTTGAGTGTAATGGACCTTGAGAGCTTATTTGAAGATTCTAGCAGGGGAGTGCAGCCACTCATATACCCTTGACCAAAGAGAGGTCCTCCTGTATTGGGAAAGGTCATCCTCTTTGATCCAGTGTACAGCTTCAGGAGGGATGTGTAGGTGACTTAGCAGAGAATAAAGTACTCACACCTTTGCAGCAGATTTCATTCTTACCCTTATCCAGACAACTCATACATTTGTACCATTGATCTTTGAGGATCAAGGTGAGAGAGGCAGAGAGAGAAGCAGTAGCTTCTCTTAACACTTATGTACATGAGTGCATTTGATTTTAACTTACAGATTCGTTTGATCTACTTGTATTCAATCATATAATTTGTACAGATTATTCCTATTTACATTCCAGTCATATGAGAACTGTGCTAGTTTATTTCTATTTCTTTAGAACTGAGCAGGAACTAGATTTGATTTTAAAACCTGCTCATTACAATTCCTAATCATATGATTTTTTTATGATTTTGTGGTCTTTTTACAAAATTATCTATAAGATCCATATTTACCAGATCATAGTCTATATTTAGCCATTTCTGCTTTTACTCATCTTTTCTATACCTAAGCTTAGCCATGTTTGGTACAAACTAGATATTTAATAAAAATGAGTTGAATGGTTTATAAAACCTCACAATTTTTAATAAGAGAAAAAATATGACTAGCTATTTGGTGTGAGAAAAAGTAGTTACATGTGGGGAAAACAAAACATAAAAGGAGGACAGTGAAGACTATTTTTTTTACATATTTTTTGATGTAACAACATCAAACAAAAACAAAAACAACAGTTTTTGGCAGAAGTGGGGTTTGAACTCAGGGCCTTGTGCTTGAGGCACTCTACAATTGAGCCACACCCCAGCTGTGTATGTTTGTTTTAAACACTTGAGTTGACTTTATCTTGATTTTCTTCCTGGTTGGTGGCATGAGTTCGCACTTTGAAATATGGATTTAATAATTTAGGTTTAACTGACAGACCGTGATGCATGGAGAAACAGTTTATACATAATTCATTGACAATCATAGATAAGCATGTGGCTGCTGAAAGTGTGCCATCTATCTGTTTCTGAGTCTCACTTTTGTGTCATTTAATTAAAGTGATAATTTAATTAAAGTGATACATATGACAGGAAAACATGCTACAACATGAAATATTTAGTCTCCCCCACAATTTCATGGATACTTAATCCATAAATTAATAATTTTAAAAACAATTTCCTGTAATGGTCATTTATTAGCACCATTTATTGTGAAAATGGCCTTTTCTAACTGTGGGTATCAATGAGATAGAGTCTAGTACTACTGTTTGATGAATCTGGTACTGTTTTTTCCCTTTAGCAAATGACAGATTTGGGGGAGAAAAAAAGAATATAAATCAGAGCCAAAGATATCCCAGATCAGTTTAGGAAGGTTCTGACTGATAGGAGCAAGTGAAAACATGTGTTCCTTACTTCATACCTCATTTTATGTAGACCTGGTCATTCCTGAAGAATATTCCACTGGTTTAGCACATTTACAGCATTTGGAAAAGATAAAGTGGAATCAAATATATTATTCTGTTAATAATTTTGAATGTGTTAAAAAGCTACCTTAATGAACATCTGTGGAAACATATCAGATATAACTGAAGATATTATTTTCTTCTTTTCTTAAGAACTAAATTTCTTAATTGAAACTTAATTGTGTTATTCTTTTCGAAGGCCTCAAAACTTCCAATGTCAATAATTATAGTTGGTGTTGGACCAGCAGAATTTGATGGTGAGTAGTAAAATTTCAATAGCATTCCTGGAAGTTTTTATTTAATCTGATTATAATGCTTTAGGTTTCTTTCAGTCTCCCCTATGTGGAAGGATGTGTTTGGGTTTGTATATAATGTCCATGTAGACATAAATACAAATAGCCTATAATGAGAAAATTGAAAGGTTATGTCTTCTGAGATGGATATGGTGGTCTACCTCTATAATCTCAGCACCTGGTGGGGGGCGGGGGTTGAGGCATGAGGTTCACAAGTGTGAATCTAGCTTGGGCTACATAGTTAGACCCTGTCTTAAAGAAAAAAAGGAATTCTGTCTTCTGAGTATGACATTCTCTCTCTAATTGATAGATTAATTCAACATGTTAGCTCATTATTTCACTAAAAATAGTTTGTACCTAATATTTAAGACTGACAGAGTGATAAATTGAGTTTTGGTTCCTGAGGCAAAACACACTTTAGGTTTTCCAAAACCTTTAAGGATGTGTGCTAAATTAATAAATCATTAAGTTGTGGAAAGAAATGTTAACATAAGCATAATATGCTAATTTAATGAGTTTCCAGACCCTGGCCAGTTGATAGACATTAGCTTTATAAATAAGGAAGTTCTGTCATGTGAAAGAGCAAAGTAAAATGAAAATAGAGCTGACTAGCTGAAATTTAATGAGACCTTATATAATTATGCTAAATTGGCACACTGAGTAGTTTTCCTTTGAGGCTCAGGCTTTGTTCAAATGCCAATTAAGTGACAGGTATTTGTATAACGAGTTATCTGGTAAGCCCTTGTTTCTTTTCTTTTCTTTTCTTTGTTTCTTTCTTTTCTTCCTTTTCTCTCTTTCTTTTGTTATACTGTGGGTAAATTGTGACATTTACAAAAGTGCTTAAAATGTATCTTAGTTAAATTCACCACCTCCATCATTCCCCTTTATCCCCTCTCTCCCCATTCTTAGACTAGTTTCAGTAAACTTCTTTAAGGACTGTCTGTTTCTAGTAATCTGGTGAATTCCTTTTAGGGAACTCTGCTGAACAGTAACTGCTTGACCACATAACATGCACCTGGTTATTAGATTTTTTTTTTTAATTAACAATGGCCATTTACTTAGTTTGGGACTTTGGAAATAAGAACAGTCTTAGAATCTTTGGAGCCACCTTTGGTAAATTACCAGTTAATCTAGACACACAAGTGGCTAAATAGAACGTGAGTATCACTGAGGTGAATCTTGTTTAATCACCAGACCCGTCTGCTAGTCTCAGGCAAAGCTATGTGGCTAACCTGAATTCCCTTAGATCTTAAGCTTGGCTGGTCAATCTTTTCATCATTCTGATTTTCCAGTTTCTAAAGGAAAAGTCACTTAGCACTGTCTGTACTGATTCTGCTGATATCTTCTCTTAGTATTTGTACCAACTTGCGTTGCACTTCAGGCATTGAATTTGAGACCCCTCTCTAGAATCAAGAACACCAAGACATCTTTTTAATGCTTTGTGCTCTCAGTAATGTGTGTTAATCAGGGATAGACTATGATTCTCAAGCTTTACTGATTCCTAACTAAAGTAAGTTATATTTTCCTCTTTGGCTACTATCTACTTCTGCCTCTGATGGGTTCACAGCTCATGGTCTTCCAGACACTTATGGAAGTCCATGTGAGGTATAAGACCTCAGAGGTGGTAAATGTCAGTCCCTTGTTCTTCAAGAACTTCTCCGACACGTGAGTACAAAGCCACTGGGCTCTCCTGGTGTGCATTTCTGGTTATATATTTCCATACAGAGCAGCAGACAGAGACTTGAGTATGACTGTCATCCTACAGCCATCTGTTTATTTTCTTCTTTTGTTTTTAATGAATTTGTTAGGGTGTTGAGGAATGATAATTCATAATTTCTCTCTCTGAGTCCATTAACTAACTGGAAAATATATGCAGGAATCACTCAGACCAACCTATCAGCTGTAGTACTGGCAGTGCAGAATTTATTTTAGGTTAACCTACCGACTGAGTCAGACTTTCCATTGCTTCTACCCTGGAAGAGTAAATGATTTCACCCTTATTCCTAGGCCTCCTTAGCTGGGGCAGAGCTTTGGTGAGTAAGCATGTCATGGGAAAAACTGCATTCAACTTGAGGATAGGCTACTCCCAAAGTGAGGAGCGCCAGTCAAAGCTCACTTCTTCTTCCTGACCTGAGACTCCTAAGACTCACTCCTCTTTTCATACAGAACAGTTAGTTCCTGCTAGGAGACAATACATGCATTTTTTTCGGCAAAGGATTTTTTTTATTGTGCTTGGCATACATTGTGGCATTCACAAAATTTCTTATAATATATCAAATATATCATACTTGAATTCACTATGCTTTTTAAAAATATTTTTCTTCCTTTCTTATCAAAATATATCTGTTCTCTCCATGGTTAAAAAGAAAAGGAAAAATACTCATATTTAATACAGAAAAATCTATGACATAAAAATTGTTGCTATTCTATCAGAGAGTATCTCTCAGCACTTTCAAATCTACCTTAGAGAAAGTTTATATATCTTATATATAAACTGACACAGGCAAAGACTGAAACCCAACTTGCAAAGTGTTTTAACTAACCTCCTTTTCTCTCTTCCCCTGCCCTCTCCTCTGCTCTCTTCACCTCTCCTCTCCTCTCCTCTCCTCTCTCCTTTCCTCTCTTCTCTTTTCCATTTCTCCCTCTCCTCCCCTCTGTCTATTTATCTCTCTTTCCAGACAGGGCTTTTCTAGGTTGCCCAGGCTGGCTTCAAACTTCAAACTTGTAATCCTCCTGTCTCATCCTCCCAAGTGCTAATATTATAGGCATGCACCACCACACCTGGCTTCACATCTGTATATTTTTAACCAGAAAGACATAGTATGGGAAAGAAATGTAATCTTTCCTTTGAAGAGAAAAAGAATAAGAAAAAACTGTTAGACTAATGAGCATTTGCATTTATTTCTGCAATGTAATATGAACCTTTTAAAGTGCTGTGTAACATTTTCCCCAGTGATTTTTTTACTCCTATATAAAGCACTTCATTAGGAAGAAAGATTCTCAAGACAGGATTTCTTTATCATATAAAAGATAAAAGAGTCAAATTAAGTCAGCATGTGGGCACCCGCTTTGATCCAAGCTAGGGAAGGGGTAAATGGAAGGGACTCTAACTTCATTGCATGATCCATGACTAGAAGGTACAGGTGTGTCTCTCATGCACTTTCTTTTCACCGAGGGCTACTGGTGGGGAAGTGGCATGCACAATCTCTGCCCTTTTAGGGACCAGATGGTCTGAAGACCTGAAGCATGGACATGACCTCTTCACTACTTACATGCCATCTCTGTTCTCATTGCTTTCAAAAGCATAGATTCCATTTCGTGCTGCCTGCAACCATCTAAGCCAAAGTCATGCTGGAAAGTGAGAGATACTTTATAGGATCTCATCCTTACACAGGATGTCTATCATTTTCTTTATTAATCAGAATGAAGCACTCTTAAAAACCAATAGAGATTGTAGAGGAGTATGGAAGGTAGAACCTACATTATATTGTTTCCCATTTTAACATGAGTATAAGGTAATTACTGTGATTTATGAGCATATTAGGGAATAAAGGGGAAGCTTCTGTAATTGCTAATGTGTCACCATCATGTATCAAAGTAACATGATAATTGTGAAAGAAAACCTGGATGAAAACAAGAATTAATTATTGAGATTATTTGAGAATTGTATTTATATCCCCAAAAAATAGAGGAGAAAAAATAAGACTTGCATTTGAAATAAGTTAATGACCTTATTAGTGATAGTGCATACATTTTACAAAATTATGACATGTATTGTATATCTAAGCAAATCATTGAATGGTGACTCTCTGTCAATTATATGTACTAGCAATGCTTCAGCCAAAACATTGACTTGTGAGTAGGTGTAGAAATATAAAATTGAAAACAATATTTTTAACCCATATTCATTTTCTGAGGACTGAAGAAAATAGCAAAGAGGTATGATTGGAATCTCATTGGATGGTATTTTGGTTTTCGAGGGTGGAAGAGACAAACATAATTGCAAGTGTTTCTCTGGAGTCTGGTGAATATCATGTGTATGCAAAATGAGTTATCAGTAATAGAATTATACTTTAAGCACAAATTAGCATCCCTCATGTAATTAATTATTTAGAGAATTCTCACTGAAAACTTAATAAAGTGTGCTTAATTGCAGCATAGCACTGCATGTCACCAGCTGCCCCATTCTATCACAGCATTTCTAAATGCCAGCTGATCTTGCAATGTGAAATGATTTCTTAACTAAAACATCATACTTCACAAAAATCGTACTTTATCCAGTTGTTGAAAGGGCTGAGTAAATGCTACTTTGTTTTCTAATTTATTTATAAATAACAATTAGGCAAGATGGATATATACATTTGTTTTAGTTTCAATGAGAACAAAGTTCAAGGTGTTATAGGAAATTCCATGATAATTGCTTCTAAGTTTCTTCAATTAGAAAGAAAAATTAAAGTTCAATGGATTAAGTACTTGCCTAATCAGTCCTCCAAATATACACCTCAAGTTTAAAACTGTAGAAAGGAGAGGACTCAAAGACCATTCCACAATGCATTGGCTCTATCTGTCTTTCAAAGGGTCATTCAAGGTCTTAGCTCATTTTCATTTATAAAATGTGCAGTCAGGTGCACTGAGACGATTGTGAGGGAAATGAAGAGACAGATGAAGATAGCAGTAGACTTTCTGTCACTACCTAAGATATATTGTAACATACATACATAATGGTTACTTACTGTATTTGGCTAAAATGTACTGAATAAATGATCATATTTCATTTTCAAGCAATGGTTGAATTGGATGGGGATGATGTAAGAGTCTCCTCCAGAGGAAAATATGCTGAAAGGGACATTGTGCAGGTAAGAAATTTTGAGAATTGTCTATTTTGTACATTACAAAGTCTGCTCTCGTTGTAAATAAGCAACTTAAATTGAAATCAGGCATTTTAGGTTCTGTTAATTTAGCTAGTTGATTCTCTATGAGATATACATCAAGAAACGGAATAGAATCAGCACTTAATTACTTTTCCTTTATTTCAGGTTCACCATTTATAAAGTGTGATTGCTAATAAGTATCTTTCCTTTCCTATTTTACTATGATAAGAAAATATTACTGTGACCCTTAGTACAATTAGAAGCTGGAAACACAGTGGAATTTTAAATTATTCATATTTATTCATTATGTAGTCATCAACAAAAACTAAATATAAATTATGACAGCATGTATATATATATATTAATATATTAATATATATTTTCTTAATTAAAAAATGTGCCAACAAGATGATAGCAACTGTCATATTTTCCCCCACAGACTATAGTTACAAAGTGAAGAAATAGATCTTAAAACAACATATAATACATAAGCTATATAAATATGTGAATTATATGTATATGGTATATGTGTATATATATATTATATATATGGTAATTTAATTATATGTAATATATAAATTTTATATACAGAAAATGTTAAAATAAAAAAACAAGATAAAGATTAAAGTAATTTGAAGGAGAAAATCAGCTAAATTAATATAGAAATATGATCATATAAAGCATAATATTCAAAAATTTTTAATCATTCTTCTTTCCATTTCTTGTGTTTTAAAGCTAATCAAGTTACATACAACATGCATGAAATTCCAGATTTCTCCAGTGGACAAACAAAAGCTTAGTGCTGCAAATAATAGTATGTAACTGAGGTTTAGCAGAAAGTTGGGAGTAGTAGATGTGAGTTTTTATTACTATATCAAATCTTAAAAAGCTTCCAGCTTTTCACATAATAATAACATTTAAATTCATTAAGTTCTTCATGTGGTGGGCAGGCTGAGAGCTATCACATTACATCACTCAATCCTTTATGGATTTTACGAGGCAGGTGGTTTTAATTACTGTGTTTTACAAAAGAAAAAGTGAAGCTCCATTCTTCTTACCCATAATCTATACCTAATGAAAGGAGGAACCTGGATTTAATCCTAAAATGTCTCATTAGGAAACTCTTTAACAAGTATTCTGTATAACTTTGATTCTAAAACATCAACATGAAATTTATGATTCTATAATACCTGGCCCTAGTTTTCCACTTTATCTAAATCACTCACACACCCACACACACCATATTAGATCTAGACAAATTAACTGTCTTTGCATCACACATCTATGATTCTTGCTTCTACTTTTTCGCCACTTACCAGACTCCCCTCTTTTTCTCTTCATGGATACCAGTGGAAATTCTCCATTTTGAATTTCTTCTAGAAACCTTTTTACAAAGCCCTGACTTCCCACACCTGGACTGACTTTGCTCCCACATTGTTTAATTTCTTCCTAAAAATACTGGTTCCTTTTTGCTTTATAGTCATTTACACATAAAGAAACTGGGTTTGAGATGGAAAGTTAAAAGAACTTCTGCAAAATTATTTAGGTCTTAGCTGGTAGGTCCAGATTTCCCAGACATTTCTAATTCCAAAACCCTATTATAACACACTTGCTCTCCAAAAAGGCAAAGTTCTAAAGAAAATTACTGAGATTGATTTCCCTTTGCACATTCAACAGCGTCTTATATATCAGAGTCAGATCAATTTTGGTTACAGTAATGACTAACTCTTGTTACAAATATGAACTTGGTACCTTATTTAAACTTTTCAGTTTCCTCTTCAGTAAATTCAAAATGTGGATAAGCACTTGTGAAAACTAAATGAGATATTTTACTAAAATCCCCTATCACAAGGACTTTCAGGTGCTCAGTAAAAACAATGCATTCGTATTAGTATCAGTTATTACTTTCAGTTAGTATGTGGGTTAATCTGATGATAAGGTGCTTCATATGTCATTATTTGGCACACAGCACTGTAGTCTGTCTTGTATGTGATTATGTCTTATTGCCTCAGGATTCAATCTCATGTGACTACAGTATAATCAGTAAGCAAGATGAGTTCCTATGGTTATTATTCTAAGACTTGAGTGAGTTATTTTCTTAAGTTAATTAATGTAGACCTTTTGTTTGTTTGTTTGCTTGTTTATTTGTACTATGGCTTAACCATTGTGTATAATTTTAACATCATTCTTGTTGGCTGAATTCACCTGCTGGCTAGCCTATCATTTCCTTACAAATTATATTTAAATCATATTTTCCATTAAAAGCAGAATAATAACCTTGAAGGCTTAGACTTGGAAATCACTAATGGAGCACTGCACAGTAGGAACAATCAAACAAAATTGAGCAGGACAGCAACTAAAAGCCCATTTGCCCAAACTGATTCAAGCTTGTTTTTACAAATAGGCAAAGCCAGCCATTAGAGCAGCCATGTGGAATATTTTCCTTACACTGGGTAGAAGGAAAAAAGATGCAGAGTATCAATGATACCATATTTTCTACAGAACAGAATGCATTTATTAGTATTCATTATATGAGCATGTTAAATTAGTACAAAGTGAAAACTGATTTATTCTTCTTAACTGAATATTTTAAGGGCCCAAGTTAATTTGTGGTCAACATGCATTCACAGTGTGTGGGAGTTTTTTTAAACAAAAAATAGCCAAGTACAGGACTCAAAAATGAGATAGTAAAAGAGAAAATAAGCAGAGTGGTCTTAGAGGTTGACTGAAAAAAATGTGACAGTAGAAGAATATGAGCCATCTACCAAGAAAAATGAGGGCATATTTTGTCATGAAAACTGTAAAATTTGATACTAATAAAAGGTAAAGGAAATGAAGAGTCATCTGTCATTGTCATTTCTCACTGATAGAGTAACCACTGACATGACTGAAGAAATTAATGTTTCTCTGCATGTTTCTTTGGAAAAGATTCAGATAATTTAGGTTCAGTGAGTAGAAAGTTCTTAACTTTCATTTTTCTGCTCCAAGCATACATGTGGTTGAGGTATACTGTTGATGATGGTGACTTGCTAGGAGAATGTTTCTCAACTGGGGTTCAAGTGGCACATCAGACTTTGTGCTTCACTTAACAATTCCAAGTTTCATATGGCATACACTTCCATCTTGGGCTGAAATCTAGAATTTCTTATTTACATATTTATATTATTTATTTATAAGTAGACCTTATAAATGAATGCCATTGTATATACTGTGAGGACAGTAATTGTGAGCCCATAGTTTTGATATTCTAGAGTACCATAAAATTCATTAAAATAATTTTTAATTTGCTTCAATTAGAAAATCAGCATATCCTGTAACACTCATTAGGTGAAAAAACAAATGTTTCAAAATAGCAAATTCTAAGAAATACTGCCATAGAATCATTGCCCTGATCTTCAGTTTGAAAGAGATAAAAGTGATAAGACTATTCCTTATACTTTGTGTTTGATGTGAAGGTAAATAGAAAATTGTTGATAGCTTCATGCAATGCATAGCAATGATGATAACTTTCATATATTGTACATATTGTATATTGAACACTTTAAACACCTCATATGCTAATTAGTTTAATACAATAATCTAGTGAAATAGATATTACAATTAGCGTCCTCACTTTATAGAAGAGGAAACTGAGTCAGAGGGTAGAAAATAATTTTCCCAAGATAGGAAGGTAATAAGTACCAAGTCTAGAAACTAAGTAGTCTAATTCCAGAGTGTGTCACAGTAACAGATAAAAAAGTAAGTTTAATGCCCACAGTGTGGTAGAAAGATAAAGAATAAAATAAAAATACAAGGTTGAGGGAAAGGTAAGACACAAGTAGGTAAGATTTCCCCTTTCCTTGAAGAAGTATACACCTTTTTCCATAGGTGGTCACTTTTCCCCTGGAATTAGTACATTAGCTACAGATTTCCCCCCACTAAAAAATGAAGTTTATAAAAATAGTTTAAATGATAACTGCATGTATACTAACATATACCAACATTCCTAAATGCTAATGTTTATACTGCTGTGCCTTCTAAAAAATGAAATAAGCAAACTGTAACTGCAAAAGTGGCTTCCTTCTTTTTTAAACCTTAACTAAGTTGATTCCTATTTTTCTCACTTTTCTATTTCTATTTGAGAAAGAAAATAAACCTTAGCTTGTTTTTTGCACCTCGTTGATTTTTTTGTTTAAAAATGTCAAGTCTTGTCCATAGCCAGCTAATATGACTAAAAAAGTTCACATCCTCTTTGTTATCTTCTCAGCTGAAGATTGTATTCTCTATTAGTTTTTTCTTTCTTTCTTTTCCTTGCCCTGACTTAGCTGCCTTCAGGGGAAAGAGAAAGATGTGGCAGCACCTTTCTGTCACACTTTTTTAAAGCTACTCTGAGTTTTCTTCCTGGTGAGAAAACAGATAGGATAGAATTACAGTAATGTAGGTAGGCTTCTTCTTTTTAAGAGAAAGGAGTAATTGTTCTATTCTTCCCTTAAAAGGGACAACATTAATTGCATCAAAAACATTACACCCTCTATTTGATTTCTTAAAATTTTAACTTGGCTTGCCTGTAACAACCTGATCATTTTTCTTATTCTCTTAAATTACATTTTGATTAATGGTTTAAATCAGAAGCAAAATGTTTAAATTTACAACAGTTATGTCACAATGTGACATGGGAAAGTTCTTGCTCTCTCCTTTTCTGGAATAAAAAATTAATTAACTCAAACTTTCAAACAATACGCTCAGAAATTGTTCAACATCCTAAAATTTCTTCACTGTGTCTTTTCTGTGAATACTGAAAATTATTATGCTCCAAAGTTATCACAGTATTAACAATTTCAATCACTTCCAAGTTGCTTCAAGAATCATCATGTCCCCAAGGAAAAATTGAAGCAATGCCATCAAATAGTTAACTTAAGTAACCATTTTAAATGAGAGTGGCGGCTGACAGAGTGGCTCAAGCAGTAGATTGCCTCCCTAGCAAGCATGAGGCCTTGAGTTCAAACACCAATGCCTCCAAAAAAATAAGGGAGAGTGGAATCAGACAATCTATTGCCAGAATATTTGATGTTGAGCTGAAAAGGGGCCTCCATAATTTATATTAAAAACAAAGCAATCATTTAAAAATATTTTATTAGCATACAATAGTTGTACAGGAGGAATACATTGTGACATTTACATATGTGCTTACAATATATCTTAATTAGATTCACCTCCTCCATCGTCCCCCTCCTCCCTACTTAGAACAATTTCAGTAAATTCATTGCTCTATTTTCATACAACAGTGCAAAATAAATTCACCATATTCATCCTCTTTCACTCTTTACTTTTGTCCTCCCCTCCCACTGGTACCCACCCTCAGACAGGACCTGTTTTACCTTCCTGTCCTTCAATTTTAAATGTATAACAGAGCAACCATTTCTATATGATGTGAAAATAAGAAGGATGATATTTCAATAAGTCTATCAAAATCTCATGCCAAGATCTTTCTTTTGCATAAAAAATCAACATTTGTGGCAAGACTCAATGAGCTGAGTATGTCAAGGTCTAGTGATAGGAACTGTGTGAATTTTATATTCATTGCTCATGTGATTTGATGTTCTAGTTAACAATTGAAAATAATATGTTTAGGATTCTTTAATGATAGGTACTGTTTTTTACACGGAAATGGCTACTATTTTTTCCTTATTCTACATCAGGTAATAGTTTGGCATCAACAGCTGAATTATACATGTATTAACTCTATTTGATCAAGCCCCAAAGAGGGAAATAGCCCATAATGTTGAATATTAGCTAGACCTACAACCCAAAACTGTAGAACACATGGAGCAACATAAATATGTATGTCAGGACCAGCGACAAGTTATTGGGGAAAAAACATGAAAATGACATCCCTCTTTAGGTCATGCATATGTTAGAAAGATTCTGTCACTGTTACAGTTAGTTATAAATCAGATATTTAAATATATATAATTGTTATTCATCTTAACATTACTTTGAGCTTCTCCGATTCTTCTATAATCAAGTGTTTACATGTGCTGATTTTTTGTGTCGGTTATGGACCTTGTGGCAGTCTGTGAAATAACTTTCATGTCTCTTTTAGTTTGTGCCATTCCGGGATTATATCGACAGAAGCGGAAATCACATACTGAGCATGGCCAGGCTGGCTAAAGACGTCCTAGCTGAGATCCCCGAGCAATTTCTCTCCTATATGAGGGCCCGAGGAATCAAGCCATCACCTGCGCCTCCCCCGTACACGCCCCCTACACACATGTTGCAGACACAAATATGACTGTGCTTTCAGATGCTAATGTTAACTCCACGTCAGTCAGAACTGCTGAGTCGATGCTTTGCGCCTGGTGCTCTGATGTGAACCAGGGAATGAGATTCTTTTCTCAGTTTGATTTCAGCAGTACTAGTAAATGTGCTTTCTTGGATCCAAAATTAATTCTCTTCCTAAACCAAAACTGTAAATATGGTTGTTGCATGAGCAACAGAAAAAGTGTTTAAATCCTTGAAGCAAAGTATGGATGTCTTCTCTGAATCTTTCATTTTTTGTTTTGACCTATTAGCTAATTTCCAATATATTGTTGGGAAAAAGCACAAGCTATGTTTTTAATTCAAATATTGTCCTTGACTGCTGTATGTATAGGAGCAGTCTCTGTATCAATGTTTACATGTTACTACTTTTTAAATTTCAATACTTTTATAACTATTCTTAAGAATAAGAGTTTTGAATATTGAATCCTTTGTCTTCTAAATTGCAATAGCGATAATCACACAAGAGCAATATCTCTTTGAATGACTGTCTGGACAAATAAAATTGCAAATAAGGGAAGAGAAAGACACTTTCATATTTCTCGGCAACTGAATTGTCTTAAGAAGACACATCTGCTTACTGATTAATTTCTCTGCCATGATTGCCAAGTATGAGAATTTAAACTTAGCAGATGTGCGTCCTCTAAGAACATGCATTTTTCATGGAGTTTGGGTTCTACATTTGGACCACAATTGTTTTATGTTTTGTAATGCTACGTAGAAGTATTAAAAATTCAAACATCGTGAACTGTAAATGCACCAAAAATACTTTGTAAAAAGTAGCATACTTATATTATAATGCTATTTAGAAAGACTAAACCCAAGAATATTTAACTATGAATCATGTAGCAGATGTTTTAAACTTTTTATTCCATTATATTTTGTCTAGATATTTTAATTCAAAGGGATACTGGCTCTCTTGATTGGGATTCCTTGTTATCATCATTCCACTTTGCCACGCAGAGGGCACAGGCTGGAGTCTTTTGTGAAATTCCCAGTTCAATATAAACAACTATGTGACTTAGTGCACAACACATTTGTGAAATAATCTACTCCAATATACTGATCTGCCTGTCCACTATTAATTGTAAAGAGTTTTTGCATGTACAGTTTTTACAAGAATTACAGTTTTGTGAAGTTGTGTCTAAGTTAAAGCATTTCTTTAGAACAAATGGCCTTAAATTCTCACAGAATTCCTGGAAATGATTTTGAATTGCCTTCAAAAATAGAAAAGTGTATTTTTTTTTCTTTTTGTGTCGACAGTGTAAGTGCTTTAAAATATTTTTTCCTTACCTGTGCCCTATTTACTACTTAGTTTATTTCTACTATATGTTGTTCTCTTTGTCTCAACTTGGCTTAGGGTGACTTTTATAAGCATGAAACTATTTTACCTAAAAAAATGCATACATCCACATATCTAACTGAATCAATATTACATAATTGTATTACTTAATTGTCCATTTTTAAGTATGTATTAAAATCTTTAAATGAATAAGTATTTGCTCTGTAAATTTCATGTATGAATGACATGGAGTCTGATGATTTTCTTTGCAGATCTAAAGTGTTTGTGTCAGTCTAGTTAACATACAGATTTTTTTTAAAATTTACCATCCTTCATCAGTCCAAAACAAAAAATAAAGTAAGAAATATTCTTTTCTTCTTGTCAAACATCAGACTTTTTTTGGACTGACCAGAGAACATGAAAGATGTGCATGCTATTGTCAAAATAATGGTCTCAGCCAAACCTAGTGGGAAAAAATCCTAGGAATGGAGCAATCTCAGTTACAAAACCTATCCTTTCTGCGGCTCCAAATAATAAGCAAAAAATTTCTAAGTAAGTTGTATATGTGAAACTGGAAAATAAGTCTCATCTTTTTCTTGAATAAATGAAGGAAATAATGAAAGGATTGAGTGATTTGTGCAAGGCTAACCAGAAAAAAATGCTGCCATTGCAAAAATCTTTCCTTTAACTACTTAAATATTTTCAGTTGCTGTTAAGTGCTATACAGTGAAAACTCCCAGGAACATACTTCATAAACTCAAACACGTACCTATAGCTGTACCTGCAAATTAAGTATCAAGGATATTCAGCCTCAACAAGAAGGGTTTGCATTAAGAGAAGAGGATAGATCCAAGTTATCAAACTGGCTGCAGAAACAATTTCCATACTAGGAATGAGTGCCCACAGAAATCTCAAAGGGTTTGAATGCTGCCCTCTTCCTAATCATAATCCCTTTGTCTCTGATGATAGCCCATTTTATCTTGATGTTGAATTTTTGGCCTTCTAGTCAATCATCTCCATATCTTGTCTCATCCAGTTATATGATCAATCCTATCCCCATTGCTTTTCAAATGAACATTACAAATATCCAGGTCTGTCATATCTCTTTTCCTCAGCTGATCCAGGTCTGTGTGGAGTCTCAGTGACACTCCTCTTACTGGCCCTGTCTTCTGGTATCCACTTAGGATATTCATTGTCTTTTCTAGCTCAAGACCCAACTTCTCTAAACTGTTTTTATGGCTTAAGATAGCAATAATCAGCCTCTTCTAGAAACTCTTCTTTGCATTGCATGCTAGCAAATCAATCACCTTATATTATTGATAAACTACTGTGCTTTTTCTGGGCCACCTTATATCCTCACCCTTAGAAAATATGACTTAATGACACCTAGATATAGGTAAGTTTTAAATGCTTCTCAGTTTAATATGTAACTGAAGTATGTAACTGTTGCAATTAAAGACTATCAGATGACTCAGTCACTACTTTTAAAATCCTCTCTTCCAGTATGCAATACAGGAAGAAAAGAAGAGATGGATGGGATTTGAAGTGGTGGTGGGAGGAAAGGGGAGAACACTGACAGAAATCTTGGAACACAGGCTATTTTGTTCTTCATATTTAATGGAGATAATTAGGTGAACTCATGCACTTTGAGGAAGGGAGTGTGAAGTTTGAACTCAGAGCCTTGTGCTTGTTAAGCAAGCACTCTACCATTTGAGCCCCCAGTTCTTTTTGCTTTAGTTATTTTTTGAGTAGGGTCTTGCATTTATGCCTAAGATGGCCTAGACTACAATCTTCCTGTTTATTCTTCCCATGTAGCTGGGATGACTGGAGCAAGTCATCATACCCAGCTTTTTATTTGGTTGAGATGGGATCTCACGAACTTTTTGCTTAGTCTGGTCTTGAACCACAGTCTTTCTGATCTCCACCTTCTGAGTTGCTAGGATGTGAGTCAAGGCACCTGAAAATTCATATACTTTTAAATTACCATCAAAAGATAAAAGTATAGTAAATTTAATTATATACGGTCGGCTTTTATTTGCAATTTATGAAACAGGGCAGTCTGTATTTCACAAAACAGGATGAAAAATGAGAATTCTGAGTAATAGCAGATTAGTCAGTTTTGTAAGGTGAGGGCAAGAAAACAGAATAGAAAAAAATTGATTGGTTAACATCAGTCTATTTTTAGTAAGAGTTAAAGCTGAGAGGACTTCCTTATTATGCTGACTCAGGTAGACTGAATTCTCCTGATTTTAGGAAAAACCATGTTGGGACCCAATGCTGGAAGTTCAGTCCGATACCATGGCCTCCTATTATTTTGTTTAACATTATTGTGAGCTCATCAACTAAAGACACAAGAAGTTATCTCTCACAAGGATGAGACTAATTCTTAGAGGACTCACCACTGCCAAAGATTTTAGTGAAGAGCCTTAATTCTACTTTTTAGCTTCTGTGTATTTTGATTACTTTATGCCTTCATATTATTTATATCTTACAGAATGATAAGATACTTAATAAAAACTCAGCGTAAAGAGTAATTTCTGTTATTAGCACAAATTAGATAAATGTCCTAATCAACAAAGCTGAGCTAGAGATCAAATTGGTTTCCTTTGATTGCAGGTGGTATTAGTTAATGAATATGGGAGTATGGAAAGATGGGGATCTGCTTCTAAAAAGTCATTCCTGTCCAGAATTTTCATCAGTGTGTTACTAATGATTTATAGATGTGTACCTTACAGAGGGGCCTCAAGTTAACATGTTGGGGTGGTTCTATCAGCTGGGGTCATTGGGACACAGCCTTTGCATCCTCATTGGCAAACCTCAGGATAGCTTATATATACTCTGTACTGCTGTTTTTATGCATGTCTTGATCCAAAGAGGTGGTGAAGCTTCGAATTACAAAGATAATGTCTGAAGTAGTTTGTGTTTACAACCAGTTCTGTCTTTCATTTTTTCTCCCTGTATTCTATATTAGTCTGTTTTCCATTGCCACAACAACATATCTGAGGCTGCATAGTTGGTAAAGATGAGTGGTGTCATAATACCATCCTCATGTAATGCAGTTCACCAGAACCAAGTGAAAGCTGGCACCACGTACTCAGAGCTCCAAAACTGTAAGCTCTTTTTAAACATCCTGCCACTCACAGAAAGAAGGGGTTCCTTGCTGTTACCAAATGACCCACAGGATGCTGAAGCCCAGAATAATTCTCCAAGATTTTCTGTCCTCACCACTGCTCTACTGTCACCTCAGTGTTCCACCAAACACTCTTTTGTTCTGCTGAAACCTGCAAGTCATTTAACAGTAGACAAAGCCTTTCATTCTACAAAATATAGGGTGATTTCAGAGATCAAAGGGTTGGAACTTTTAAGTATTAAGAAATTCATTTTATGACCATACTGACATTTTTTGCACAAAAATTGTTTCTGAAAGTCCTTCATCAGATCTTTAGTTAAGGTGTGATTTTGATAAGGGAAGATTTGGAGTATCATGAACATACAAATGCTTGAATGGGCTTCCTTTGAATATGTGAGAGGGGAAACTAGAGAATCAATAAACACAAAGTGTTTTTCTTGAGTTATTGTCTGAACTGTGTTTATAACTTTTAATAGATTACCCTAGCAATGTTTACATTCCAAATTTTATGTTTTACAGCCTTGAGTGAATAGGCACCTAGTAGAAGAATACACTGGCCAACATAAAGTAGGATATATACCCATAACAGAATTACTTTGCTTCAAATTGTTGTGACCCCCAGCAACCATTTTACTGTGTAGAAATCTTATTTCATGTTAAATATAGTATACAATGTAACACATGGAAGTCCATATGCATGTTGTACTAAGATAACTGCAAAGATATAATAGTTCTAATTCATATAACAAACTTCTGAACAGTTTTTGAGGAAAGTTCTTCACCTCATAAAAACACAGTTATTGTTTACCTTATGTTCCAACATCTGACCTTGCAGCTTTTTTTTTTTTTTGCCCACCTATCCCTTAGAGATGTTCTCAATGTCAGAATCTAAGAGGAAGATAAACACGAGCTCTTACCAGGGAAAAAGTAAAAGCAAAATGATCTAAAGATTTGCTCATTTAGTTTTAAAGCAACAGTGGCCATGACCTCATGATTTTCTCATCACAAAGTAATCCACTGATTTAATTTCCATGAAACAGGCCTGCTGGGTATTCATAATGAAGTTAGATAAGCTTATTTCATAGATAGGACTTGCTATCAGTCAAGGGAGTGGATATCATTGACCTTACAAATTAGGAGGAAGGATAAAGGGAGACCTATGCTTAAGGTTGGCTTAAAAATAGCTATCCTTTCTCACCTTTCAAAATAAGGAAATTAATAAATTATAAAAATCAATAATTTTTACAAAGAACAATCACCTTGATAACCCTTATAATTTTCACAAGATGGTTTGACAAGAAACATTAAATAAAGCACCTTCAAATCTTTATACAAGATTTAAATTTGAATCTACTTAAAATTAAATTGTTTCACTATTATTATTTATAACAATAGAAAAATCTATATTCTGTAATTTAGAGATTGGCAAATTTAGCATGCACTTTAGAAAACTGCACCAGAAGTCCGAACAGGAAGTGGTTGAGCCCTGAGAAAAAACCTCAATCACTAGAAACTCTCAAAATTCAAGAACCAACCTTACTGTCTCTAAGATTATATTGCCCTAACTCTCCTGCTCCCCACAAAATCTATTATATCAATATACATTTGAGTATGATCAACAAATAGAAGTCTTAAAGGCTGAATAATTATATGTGTGTTTAATTTTTCACTTATTTTGTGAAGATATTTAGGAGATTTGAGTAAATGATTTGAAACCTAAATGCTTTGTCTCCTCTACAGGCTGTTTACAAAATTCCTAGAAGATGCACTATAAGGAGTGTGTCTCACCAACACATCATATATTGGTAGTCAAAAGACTTGAATTTCCATCTCAGCAGCCTGGAAATACCATTCATTTAATGTGGTGATATTTTCAAGGACCCTCAAAGCACTACTCTTCTGTTCTCTCAAAGACAGAAGTTACATTAATTGGAGCATGCTTTGAATCTTGACTCTTTAAGAGCCAGATGGGAGGAGGTTATCAAACAAACTTGTACTTAGCTACCAAAGTACCTTCTGAGGGATTGGACAAGTGGAAAATCTCAGCTTCTTATTTTTAAAAGGCAGATTCTTTGCT